ACCAATAAAGGAGAATATTTGTAGCTCAGGGTTGAAATGAGGAGTCCTTGGTGCTCTGAGCTTGGTTGTTTTCTGCAGATGCTGGTTGCTTTCTTGCCAGCACTGATGATGTTACCAAGTTTTGGTAATGAAGCGTCTGCAAGGAAACAACAGAGAGCACCAAGGATCTCCTACCTTCATTTGTATTTTTCTAATACATATGATCAGGGCTTGGTCATCCCGCTCCTTGTTTTTAAACCCAGCTGGAGTCTGAACATAGACTCCATAGAACATAGAACACAGAAATCACAAACCATTTTACGAATGTATTTGCATTCTTTTTTCTTTCATACTTTGAAAGCTGCACTACTCATCTTCTCAATGGCTGTTTTTGCTGTTCTCTAAAAAGTGCTAGCACCCGTGTGATCACATCTGGGCTTGGAGGTTAAGATAGAACTGGGCGACCTCCAAGATCGGCAAGACACACTTGAAAAACATTCCCAAACAGGGCACAGGCAAACCATCTCCCTTTTGTTGCTAAAAATACTTCGTGCATTCATGAAATCACCAGGCGTCAATCTTGACTTGAAGGAATCATTATTTATTTTAAGAATTCAAAACAATATTTAGGCTAGATAAGGCTACGGAATGTCCTGTTGGTATTCTGTAATCTTTGTAATGGAACTAGAGAAACAGTCATGCAAAAAGTAGCCTGGAATTGCTGGATAAATTCACAATGTCTTTGTATAAGCCTGTATAAGCCTGAAGTGCTTTCTGTCGGGAACACCTAGTTCTTCTCTTTGGAACTCTGGCTGTATTCTATTTACAGAGTTTTCTGCACCCATTATGAAAAGTGAAAATGACAATCACTTTCCCTTCTTCTCCTCTCCCTCTTGATGATGTGCAGTATTATGCACGGATGGCATTTGGATGTGAGCAAATGGTGCCATCTCTGGAAACTTCTGCACAAACCAAAGCAGCCACTACCAGAACAAACGTAAGGAAGAGATCTGCTGCCTCTCTGCCACACTAAGGGATAAACTACCATCTAGTGGGCAAGGGGATACATTACTCAATCATGATTTTTCAGGAACCGTATCTTGCAAATCACCAAGAGTCCATAGGGATTGAGCAGTCAATAAAAACAATGAATGAGTGGATAAATAATCTTGTGACTTGGTTAATCACACTAAGTCATAGGTTGCTTAACCCTGACTTATTCAAAAACCATAACTGGATGGATTCACATACCATGTCAAACTATAATTATGACTTAGAAATCTTATTTAGTTACAAATTTTATTACTATCAACCTAAGAACAGCATAATAAATCTTATAGTTATGCAGGGTTTCAAAATGATTTGAAAGAAATACTTCAGACCTCACATGCATATAAGGCAACCCTTCTCTGCTGTTCCTTAAAATAGCCCAATATTTTATTTTATTTTTTGCTTCTGCAGGAGCCTAAGAAAGAAGCCACTGCTTTAATGAATTGAGTTATTAAGACAGATTATCTATCATAAAACACTGAAAGAAGTAGAATTTTATTTCAGGCTTGTGCAAAAAAAAAAAGGTGACTGTTGTAAGGAATAAGTAAAAAGTACTATGCTCAAGATCTCCCAAGCCAGTTTCGAAGCTTGCACAGCCCTAATAAACAAGATTTAAATTTTCAGCTGGCTGAATATTAAACCAAACAATCATTTATTATTCAACCTATCCCTCTTCCAGCATGTAAAAATCATTGCACAGAAATAAAAGCCTAAACGATGTAGGACAAGAACCTAGAGAGCTCCTTCTGTATATGCTGGGGACCTCCTTTATAAAGATTGTCTGATTAACAAACTTGAAAAAATTGCATGTTCTATAATGATAATTTAAATAGTCACCCTAACATTGCAAGTTACTGATGATTTGAGTAACATATATATATGTTAAATATATATGTGTTAAATTTAGCCACGAAAGAGAAAAAGATATTTAAATGCTGTGATGTGTTTATATCTGCAAAGATCAGACTTCTGCAAGTCATGATATTCCTGTAACATTATATGTAAGTGAATGTTGGACTTTAAAGAAGCAGGATACAAAGAGTACTGCCCTTTTGAATTTTGATGTTGGAAAAGACTCCTGAGAATACAATGGAGAGCCAAGAAATTAAACCAGTGGATCATTGAACATATCAACAAATAACCAGGCTCAGATTATACTGCTTTGGATACATTATGCAAAGACATAGCTCTCTGGAAAAGTTGGGAATGCTGGAAGGAAACAGAAGAAGACAAACAGCAGCAAAGTGGATGAAATCAGTTTCAATGGCTATTAGCAGTTGGGAGACCTGAAAGACCAGTTTAAGGACAGATTGTCATAGATAACATGTATCTATGTGGTTGCTAGGAATCAATGTCTTGATGGCACATAATCAGTCATGCAGGCTACATGTTTTATACAAAATAAGGTTTAAGGGCATTTGAGAAAACTAAAATCCAGCTGTTGGCTCTCTTAAAAGTGCTGGGTTGACTGGATTATTCCAGAACAAACATCAGCAGTAGGCTTTGATATGATGCTTGAGCTCTAGCAACTCCCCCCAGGATGCTTGGTGCTGATTCCATCACAGGAATTGCATGTGAATGCAACACTTTGAATAAATTATTGTTAATCCTCCCAACTTACCCATATCCTCTCATAGCACATTAAACTATGGCATTCATGTCTTGCTTGTGGCTTTTTAATATACAGTTCATTAGTCAACGTCAATTCTGCATGGGTTTTTCTTTTAGGATGCCTGTGAAAATTCAAACAAGCAATAAAAAAAATTATCCGCATTCTCACTTCTCCTCTATTCCTGGCTGAGCATATTCCAACCATAAACAATACAGAAAATTACATTCCCAAAGGAGTTTATCACAAGAAACAAGCACAAGATTCCTGGTATATGTGTTAAACCAAAACATCTTCATATAAAATTAATCCAAATACACTTCCATCAAATGCAATGGAATGGGGCTTTTTTAGTAACTACAATTTTTATTGAGGCTGGAAAGAGGCAGGAGAAATTGGTTAGAAGAAACAGAATGGCTTCAGAGTTGGAGACCGAAGATTCAGAGTATTATGATTAACAATCAGAATCTTGCTTTTAGTCATCACATTAAGCTATAGAGTTTGCTTGGCAGTGTTTTAATGTGATGCATATAAACTCAGTCCTTGTAATATAAACCATAGATTTTAGAGAAGTGAAATATTTCAGCCTGGACTGTAATTGTATCATAGTCTCCGGTCGAGGAGGCTTTCTTCAGTAAAGATCTTATTATTGCCCCTTTTTCACAGAGAAGCTCCCTCCAGCCAGGAAGACATTCGTCATCTTCCTTGGCCTTGGCGCCAGACCTGACTTTCATCCCGAGTTCATCTGTCGAGGATTTTTCAATTAAACCAAAATAATTAGTCTGTGACCAATTACAGCGCAAAGGAAGGAAACAAACGTAGCTCCAGGCCAATGACGGCTTAGGAAGGCAGGCCTCTGGGTAACAAAGGGCCAATAAGGGCACGTAAAAGGATTATGTTGAAAACGAAAGTTCCGACTTTAAACAGCGCAGGATGGTGCCTTTAAGGCGTTTACTGTAAGCCTTTTATTTTAAAAAACAAACAAACCCGGTTATCTTCTGAAAAAGGCATATGGTGGGCGGTCTCATGAAAACAATCGCCCGCTGCAGAAACGGCATTTATTTTTCACCCACGTTATTCACCTAGGCCAGGGGTAGGCAACCTTGGCTCTTTTATGACTCGTGGACTTCAACTCCCAGAATTCCTGAGCCAGCCAAGCTGGCTCAGGAATTCTGGGAGTTGAAGTCCACGAGTCATAAAAGAGCCAAGGTTGCCTACCCTTGACCTAGGCTTATGACGAACGTGAATAAAAGCCGACAGGGCAGGCAAAATTGCAGATACTGATACACATTGAGGGCCGCTCCTTTTCGTGTCTTAAATTCTTTGAATTTAATCGAACTTCCCTCCAAGTAAACCTACATTAAGGCTGCACCGTTCAAATTTTCCCACCAACGTGAGAACTGGGACGTGAAATTCTGCCCGTCTTTAACTGCAGAAAAAGTCGCGCAAGAACACGCGACAGGAGGAAAACGAGGGGCAGAAATGTTTTGATTTCTGACTGGAGTTAACGGGAGTTGGTGCACTGCAGGGAGGGTGCCTTTTTTTTTTTTGCAGCTCCTACTCGACAGACGATATTCCCCTTTGGCTTCCTTTTTGAATATTGCCGTTCTAGAAACTTCCCACGACTACCACCTTGCGGATGCCAATTATACCGATATCAGAATTAAGGTTTGGTTGAAAGAATGGGTGATTCGCTATCCTCTGCGGAGCAAAACACAAGACGCATTTTGAGGCAGAATGCGCTTTTCTGGAAAAGCGCGTTCACTTTGGCGAGCCGTGGGATTTCAGGAATAAGGTGCCTGTCACTGATGCAACTGTTTTTTTTTGCAGGGCGCTCCTACTACGCATTTTTTCCCTTCCTCAAAAGGAAGGAGAACTCAGTGCAATCAGGAGTTACCTCCAGGTAAACGTGTGCACAACACCTGCAGCGATTTCGCCCTTTTTTGTGGGAATTGTCACGCCGTCGCTCCAGGGCTGATCTCTGTTACTGCGCCAACTCCGAACATCAGCGGGCAAAACACCAAGCCGTAAAAGAGAGCGAGGCCTTTTTCGCCAATTTCCCTCTTCTCGTTGCTTAATTCAATCCTATTTCCCTGGAGTGTCCCCCCCCCCACACACACACACACCAAATCCAAGGCTGGCCTTTTGTGTTAGGCCTGCGGTGCGAATCGGGACTTGTCTCCCGCTCGCGCAGGTTCCTTGGGGGTGGAGCAGGTCTAAAAGCAGGAGCGGTTTCCGTGCGGCCGGCTCCGCTGACAAACTAGCGCTCGCCAGAAGGGGAGGGCGGGGGCTCGCTCGCTCTTCTCTCGCGCGCGCTTGGGAAAATGTTACGCAGGTTCTAAAATGGAACGTTAGCGGCGGCGTGATTGAGCTCTGGAGGGGGGGGGCCCGGAGTAAGTAAGAGCGAGAACAAACAGCTATAGCCGGCACGCAGTTGGATACTTCCCTCAATCTGCGAGCAGCCGCTGCCTTCGCCACCGCCTTCTTCCTCCCTGTATGGAGCTTTCCGCTATTGGGGAGCAGGTGTTTGCTGTGGAGAGCATCAGGAAGAAGCGCGTAAGAAAGGTGGGTGCTGCTTCCCCTGCGGCGACTTCGCGTTTTATTCTGCAGGGCTGCAAACGGCATTTTTAGGGAGGAAGAATCTGGAAGGCGGGATCTCTTCCGTGGCTAAGCCTCCTCTGGGGACCTTTAATTACGAACCGCTATTCTAGTAGTAGCTGCTCTGCTGGTTCCCAGCGCAAAAAAACCACCGCGCGGTGCAGCGAGCGAAGTGGAGTACCTCATCCTCTCTCCCCCCCCAGTTTGTACACACGCCGTAGTGCGAGTAGGGGGGCGTGGCGGAACTTCTCATTTTCCTGCCAGCAGGGGGCGCCAGTGAAGCCCAAGAGAGGGCTGATTCGCAAGAGTGCAGAGAGACGATGGTTGTTGCACGTTTGTCACGTGGTGATATCCCCGTTGGAATGTGCACCGGGGTTGCAGCGTTCCCCAGTGCAAGTGCTAGGTCTGACGACTCGTGCAAATGTCTTGAGTTCAATAGATCTCAGCCCCAGACAAATAACTAATGTATCTTGGATTGCAAATTTAAAATTGCTGCAGAGTGGGTGTGTTAGAGTAGGGCAGACGTTTCTGCTAGAGGAACAACAATTATGCCAAAATGGGTGGATGTCATATTTTTTAAAAAACTCTGCCTCTCAGATTGGATCATTTTCTTGCTTCCCATATCCTGATGAACAGAGAAGTTGGAATTGTATCTTTTGGAAGAAGGTTAGCTATTTCCGGCAGCTTTAGTGAAATTTGAGATGGTTCTAAGATGACCTGAATATGATTATTTGGGGTTTTGTTTAATCTTTATCAAGTTATTTAAGCCATAAATATTCACCATCGGCTGATTTAGCTGCCTTTCAGAGGTAATTTGTGCTGATCAGTGAGTTTCTTTGATGTGAAAAATAACATTATTGTATGAATTGAGGATTGCAAGGCTATAACATCTTTTTTTTTTAAAAAATGGATTTTTTTGTAACATGAAGCACAATATTGGTAATTTTAGGAGACGAGAATTCACTCAACAGTTTATCAAATGCTTATTAATAAAATGGAAAATAGTATATCAGGTCTTATTAGCTCAAACCTCTTAAACTGCCTTCATATTTGTTTGCTGGAAAAAAAAACCCCCTATACTGATGGCCTTCCATTGTGGGAGAATTAAACCATCGCTTCACTCCTTATTTCCTATCAATTAAACACAAGCTATCATGTATGCCTTTTTCTCCATGATTTCTTGTGTTCAGTTGATGGAAGTAAGGAGTAGGCTGGCATTCTGTACTGTGAACCAATGAGTGTGTTTATAGATTGGGAGGATGCTGAGAATCTTGTGCAGCAATTCCAGCAATTATCTGCACTAGCTTAGATAATCTGAGAAACATTTCTATAGCCCAGTGTTCAGACTATTGCATAATTATATCATAATCTGCTATAAGCAGAGCTCCAGTGTGATGTACCAGAAGCACTTGCAGGCAAGGGGATGAAAGTAGCAAGGTGCTCAAATTAATCCATCCTATCTAGCAGGCAGGATTTTTTTTTCTCCCAATTTCTAAACATTCCTTCTTAATTTTATAGATGGGTTGATTTGTTGCCTTTGTGGTGCTTTGCAGTTTCTTTATACGCCCTGGAAGCCTTTGGATATGCCTCCAGGGCAAGCCCAGGAATTGCAGCTCAGTGGTGGAAAGGTTTAGATATATAAATGCAGAGAAATGGGCAAATTGAAGGGTGCTGTTTGTTAGAATATTTTATAGATCTGTTTGTGGGGCTTGACGGAACTATTGATTTTACTTCCTTTCCTTTCTCTTTTTCTATAGGGTAAGGTGGAATATCTGGTGAAATGGAAAGGATGGCCCCCCAAGTAAGTTTGGATTATATTTGAAAACATTGTAAACATGACCTGTCTTGTGTTTATTTTTTTTTCCTTTTGGCCTCAGCTTCAAGAGAAGGATCTATTTATGTTTTCCCCCATCTTTTTGAATTGAGTACAACTGATATGTTTTTTTTTAATATTTTCTTATGGTATTGTGGAAAATAGTTCAAGAATAGAAGTCCACCATCCCAAATGAAACATATATTTTAAAAATAAAAGATTATAATTGGTGTAATTATATAAAAAGAGTTATTAAATTCTTGGAGATAATATGGGGTCCAAATGGAATGAGTAAGGAGCAGATTATGAGTTTGCTAGTTGAACAATAAATAAAAATTTGCTAGTGACTTGTCCATTATTTGAAGTGGTTGTAAGTGGAGATTGGCAGAGAGTGACGAAGAAAAAATAAGCAGGTCCACTTATTGTGTGTGATATGGAGAACAGTAGAGGTCTCTTTTGTACAGTTTAGAAAAGTTTCTGTTTCTCTGTGTGGTTCACCTACGTGTGCATAGGTATCTCTGGCAAGGTGGCAAATTGGTTTATCTATTTTAGCCTTAGATATCTGGCAACTTAATGCCTTTTTCTTCCTAATTCAAATAGCATAGACTCAGCCACATTATTTCTTCCTAGAATGTAAAGTATGTAACATCCATTCAGATAACATTGTATTGTTTAAGCAGCTACAAGATAGTTGCTTGGTGTTTCTAGCCATGCTGTGCTTTCCAAGAGTTAATTACATTTCAGCAGGCAGAGTAGTAATCTGCTTTGCAATATGCTATAGTGTGAAGCAATAAAATCATTTATGTAAAAAAAAAAGTATTCCTGTTAATCCAAGCCATAGGAACATCTTCGTTATACAAATTATGTTGTAAATATAATAACTTATATATTTCATTGGAAATTAAAATGGGCTAAATGCCAGTGATTGGCACAATTGATTTTAGATTACAGATGGCACAGCTTTATTGATGAAGCATGTATTAGTAATTTTGAAGCGAACAGAGCCTTCTGTGTTTAGAAACTTTGCTGCTCATCAAGGCCCTGGGTTTTGGTTCCCTAATCTTGTTCTCATATCACCACTGAACACAGCTGTAGGCAAATCATCTGCCAGGATATTATTGGCTTCCTGCTAATCCTGGAGTTCAGATTCTGAATGGGCATCAGATCTTGAACAGAAAGGAAGACATCCAAAATATGCTCTCTATTATCAGTGCTAATAGTGTTTCTTGAGTGTAATCATGAAGGTATTAAATAAGTTTCCCATCACATGTATTGGGATTATGCCTCTTGGGATTTTCAGCCTCCCTTTAAACATCAGACTGAAACCTGGTTTAATTTTGTGCATTATAGAGACTACTCTGATAAATTCATTCTATTATTTCTTAATTCATAATATTCCTCCACTACATCAGAAATATTTCTGAATTTTATAGTTTCAGAAAGCAGCAAAAACCCCACCAGAGTATCTTTTCATTCCTATTCACTTTAATAAAGTAAACTCCAAATAAGGATAGGTTAGGGTCTTTTAGCTTTTCTGCTGAAAAAAAACACCCTGAAATGGCTATTTAGAACTGCCAGAATCAATTAGAAACTAGCCTTAAAACCAACCATTGGTTTTTGTTAGAAACTCTCTTATAGATCACAGTTTTTTCCCCCTTTGATTGCCCTTTTTTGACATAGGACTTTGAACATTATAAATGCATTGTTCTGGGCTCTATTTTAGATTAATTTTATGAGGGAATTAATTTCTGTTGGTGCCTATAAATGTCTACAGTATTTCATTCTACAAGATAGGAGGCAAATGGCTGCAGATCAAGAATTTGGGGGAGGGGTGTTTGTGACTTTTTCCTCTCTTCTTCTCCCCCCCCCCATATAATTTGTGTGCCTTTCTGAAAACTTGCCTTCATGCCCCACCCATCAGAGCTAAGAGCCAAGAATCTGGTTACAGCTCTGAGTCAGCTGCAAGCTTGTTTACAACTTGAGTTAGAAGAAGGGAGGGGGGAGGAGAGAAGTGATCATATGACTTGTATTTTCCAGAATGCGTGGTCTGCAGTTCTGCTGCAGTCTGGTCCTTTCTGTTTGTGTGGCGGTGGTGTATGCGTTTGTCTTGTGTGGCGAAGTGCACTGTGTTCCTATATGCAGTGTTTTCTTACTGCAGTCAAGCAAGAAACTGAACTGCAGAGGAATGGGCAACACCCATAGGATATTTATTAAAAATTCTGATCTAGGATTCCCCCCACCGCCCAATGCTGCCTCCTTTTTCCTCCCAGGAATTCTTAGCTTGCTCTTTATTCACTGATTAAAAGTGCTGCCAAAATCTTCCCCAGCAGAAAGGAAGGAAGCAAAATTACCATTTGTTCAAATGGCATTTTTGGGTTCAATCACTTTTCATTGTGGACATTGGCACAAAAGAGAGATGAGGGGGAAAGGGATTTTAAAAGGCTCATTAATAAGGGGAACAGAATATAAATGAATGAAAATGAAGCTGAAGATGTAACTATTTTTAACCTGGTCTTTCTCCTATGGGCAGAATCTGAAAGGCATCTTTTAAAGTAAATATTGACTTAACATCATATCTCTTTCCCTCTTTACCTGCCTCAAAGCAGGTAAAACAGTTTTCTTGCTGCATTTGTCTTCTAGTCAGACATGTGTGAAACTTGTTATTTTTCTATTTCATATCATAGGCAATGAGCTGGAATATTTTATTTCATAACATGATTTTCCACCATCCAGTTTAGCAAAACATTCACAAATAAAAGAAAGAACCTGCTTAAGATTCCGTAAGATTGGAATTTAAACCTACATCAGAGGATAGACAATCTAAAGCCCTGAAATTTCTTTCCTAAATCCAGTAGCTCCTTGCCATTGGCCAGGTTGGCTAGGACTAATGGGAATTAGAGATCCAACTGGAGAGGGAAACCTAAGTAAAATCCCCAAGGGAGAAGGCAGGTGAGGTTCTGCAGATGCTAGAAAACAATAAGACAAAAACACTTAGGAGAGAAAAAGCCCAAAATCAAATATGGAAAAAAGCAACAGCAAATAGTTCTGCCAAGAAAACAATATGACATCGATTGAAATATTTAAGTATGGGTCCCATCACTCTCCCACTCCAGTCAAAAATACTCCTTTAACTATTAGAAAAACATAGGCTTTATAACTGGACGTCATTGGATACACAACATCAGAATCGAATCAACTATATAATAAGAAACAGGAGATGGAGAAGTGCAGTTCAGGCAGCTGAGACCCTTCCAGGTACAGATTATGGGGACCAGGAATAATTGGTATCAAGTATACTGGATAAGCCTAGAAAAATAAAGAGCACAAGTAAGCCAACAATATTGGACCTGAATGATACAGAGCTAGACTGTAAGATGAGTATGATAGCCAGTTTAGTGGTTAATGCATCAGGCTAGAAACTGGGAGACTGAGTTCTAATCCTGCCGGCATAAAACCAGCTGGGTGACTTTGAGCCAGTCACTTTCTCTCAGCTCTAGGAAGGAGGCAACGACAGACCACTTCTGGAAAACCTTGCTAAGAAACCTGCAGGACTTGTCCAGTTTCCAAGAATCGGACATGATTGAATAGAAAAAAAAATGAGCAGGATTCAGTATATTTATCTAAAAGAAAATATGAGAAAAAGATGCTGAAAAACAATTCTATAGCTCATGCTACACTGTGGGTATTATAAAAGCTAACTGATATGACAGAGTACATGATTATTCTGTGAAACTCTTTCAATGAACAAGAAGCTATTGTAAAAACTGAATTTGAAAAAGACTATTTCAGGATAGGAAAAGGAATGAAACAAAGATGCATATTGTCTAGATAGGCATTGTAAGAGAGAATGGATGGAATCAAAATATTAGGCCAAAACAGTAACAGTTATGCAGATAGCATCACTTTGTTAGCTGAAAACTAAGCTAGACTTGGAAGAGTTTACTATGAAAGTAAAAGTTAAAAAAATACAAAATATAGGTTAAATATTAAGAACACAATAAATCCTGAGTTTAATGAGCCATTTTGGTGGAAAAGGCATTATGTTAAAATCTAAATATCATTAAATCTGAATTTACATCATTGGCATTAATTTATATTTGGATTAAATTGTATAAATAATGTCATTTGAGTAATTATGTTATTATGCAAATGACATACATCATTGACACAAATCACATAATTTATATTAGTCACCCAGATTATTTCAGATACAATAGATTTTGCCCATTATTTCAGGGAGATATTTGGAGGAAAAAATAGTCTGTCCTGTTAAACCAAGATTCTTTAAAACGAAGGCTGACTATAATATCAGTGGGCATTGTTAGTGAACTTGATATAAAGAAATGATGGTAATATACAGGTTACTTTTCTTAGGCTTAATAATGAATAAAGATGAAAAATTGAAAACTAATCCTATAATGCACAGCAAAGAACTTTGATAAGGCTATGAATAAGGGGAATACTTTTATGACAAAAAAGATCAGAATAATAAAATTTCATATTGGTAATATATGCTGGACACTGAATAACGAAAGAAAATAGATGTCTTTGAATTATGGATCAGGATACTGTTATAATAAGAAGAACCAGTCAATGTTGGATCAATTGAAGACAGATTCAGTAGGCAGAAATTCTCATACACTGCATGTGTGATGTCTGCAGATGATGATCCAGAACAATGTTGGACCACTCACTCTCAGTCCAACTCACCCTCACAGGGTTGTTGTTGTGGAGAAAATAGGAGTAAAGAATCTTAGATATTAATACAAAAGAGGTCAGAAATTGAATAGCGCTCACAATTTTTTCCTCAAATCAACTTTTGCTTATCCCCTTAACTTCCTCATTTCAATAATTGAAGGAATAATTTTAGATTATTAAACTCATGAATATGGGAATCCTTGTTTAAGATCCTCAAGTAGATTGTTATTATTTCACTATCTTATCCTTCTTTGTAAAGCAATTTTATTTTATTTATTTATTAAATTTAT